CTGCTCCACGATCGCAGTCTTCATCGCAGGAAGCCTCGGCTGCTGATAGTGGTGCAGCAGCAGCAGCAGCTGCTGCTGATGCTCCTGTCGCTGCTGCAGCTCCTGCTGCTCCTGATGCTGCTGCAGCTGCTGCTGCTCCTGTTGCAGCAGCAGCAGCTGCTGCTGCCGTTGAGGAGACATCACCTAAAGGGGAGGCCCCAGCAACAGCAGCAGCAACAGCAGCAGCAACAACTGCAGAAACAGCAGCAGCTGCTACAACAGCAGCAGCAGCTGCAGCAGCAGCTGCAGCAGCAGCAGCAGCAAACATAAGCGCAGCAGCAGAGATAGCCACCAAGACAGAACAAAATACAGCAGCACAGCCTGGGGATGCAGAAGCAGCTGCAGCAGCAGATGATGCCAAAGCAGCAACAGCAGCAACAACAGCAGCAGCAGCAGCAACAACAACAGCAGCAGCAGCAGCTACAGAAGCAGCAGCAGCAGCAGCAGCAGAAGCAGCAGTAGCAGCAACTGAGGCTTCAATGGGAGAGGCGGAGAACCCAAGGGCTGTTGGCTCCACAGACAAAGCAGCAGCAGCAGCAGCAGCAGCAGCAGCAGCAGCAGCAGCAGAACCGAAAGCAGCAGCAGCAGGTGCACCCGCTGAAATCCCCGCAGCAGCAACAGCAGCAGCAGAGGAGTCTCCTGCTGCTGCTGCTGCTGCTGCTCAAACGAAGCAGCAGAGCGACTGCAACTAGACCAGACAGGGGGCCCCCCCACCCTCAGCTGTCTGTATGGGGGCCCCCTTCATAAACCAAAGGGGCCCCCGGGGGCCCCCGGGGGGCCCCCCATTACTCCACGTATGGTGAGGGGGCCCCTAGGGTTTACTTTTGCGTTGGGGGCCCCCCCCATGAAGTGTCGCAGGTTAAGGGGATATATGGGGGCCCCCAGCACGGGGGCCCCCAGGGGGGGCCCCCAAGGGGCCCCCCTGCCTCTGTTTGACTCAGAGTAACTGCATGCATGCAGCTTGTCTTTTGTCTGTTGTCAAGACAAACACACACAAACCAAGGGGCCCCCGAAGGGGGGGCCCCAGGGGGCCCCCCCTAGGGGGCCCCCAGGGGACCCTACTAAGGGTCTCTAAGGAAAGCCAATGGGGGCCCCCCAGTGGGGGCCCCCCGGGGGCCCCCAGTGGGGGCCCCCCAGTTGGTTGTGAAGAGTTTAATTGGGTGTAATATAATAAAATTATAAAAAAATAATTTATGATGGGTTGTAGTGTTTTTGTTTTGTTTTATTTTATTTGTCTTTTGTTG